AAAAAAAATCAAATATAAATGAAATATGATACATGGATAAAATTGTCAAAATTAAATTAAAATCAGCCATATTCAATTTTCATCACCCTTGACCCTCTCTCTTCCGAGTCAATGTCAGGATCGATTTTCCAAACATTGACATGGATAAAAATTAAAAAGTGACTTTGAGTGTTTATAATTGTTTGTTTTTTGTAAAGTTAAATCTACAGTCTTAACATATTTGGTTCGTGTATAGACCCTCGCTGTATTTTCCACATCTCACACTCCCTTTCACGCTAGGATGGTAGTATTGCTGATAACTTTGCAATTTAATTGTTGGAAATGTGGCAATGTGCTGGTTCAGGACTGCTACAAGATTAAAGAAGCTGCTTTTGGCACTAAATCACCAGTGCTGAAAAAAAGAGAAGACAAACCAAGTCCATTACAGAATTCGCCATCAATCAGCTCTGAAGAAACAGTCGAAGATGCTGCTACAATAGCTGCACACAAGATTCAGCCCTACTTATCTTTAAACAGATGCTTGAACTATGAAGTGTAGTTACCATAATTTGCCATTATGCCGCAATATTTGTCATCGTTATTTTAAGACTTAAACCGTGGAAGATTTATTCATTTATAAAGAAAGCATTGCATTTGTACAGCATAAAAAAAAATTTTGTTGCTGGATATTCATATTAGATTCAGAGGGCGAAACTATTCTCTTGGCATAGGTTGTCTGTGTAACACCCCGAATTTTAATTATATTTTCATATGAGTTAAATTTAATAATGATCATCTAGCAAATGAAATAGTACATGTCTAGCCTTTGTCGTCACACTAAAGTTCAACGCTGAAGTGATAAACTCGAACCACTTATTTGCATAAATAATTTATTTGTTTATGTATAAAAATTTATCTTAAATTATTTGAGTCGAATATTTAAGCATTGTAAAAGTTGATAAAAATATGTCGATATTATACTCATTTTGTAGCTCGTATTAAATAGCACATATTTGTCTCAAGAATAAATATTTTTAGACTAGTTATACCCGAGTTATTTTGATAAAAAAAAAAAAAAAGTATTCTAAATTTCCTTTTTGCAAACGGCTCTTCTACTCAGAAATGAAATGTTTATTAATAAACAAAATGTAAATAATAATATAATAAAGGAAATTGCAATACAGTCACTTGGAAGTTGAAAAGTATATTATAACTTAAACATAATTAAATCCCTTAATTTTGATAATAATTGATATAATTAATCCATAAACTCTTAAATAATACATTTAGAATTAAATTTGAAACTTAAAAGTATTTGATAGAAATTCTAAAAAAATGAAACTAAAAGTGGTCATTGGAATCACGCCTTTTTTTTTTTCTTTTTTTCTTTTTTCTTCTCTTCTTCTTCTTCTTCTTCTTCTTCTTCTTCTTCTTCTTCTTCTTCCCTCTTTCATTTTTTTTTGATGAATTATATATATGTATATAGTTAAAATTTTCTTTTAGAACATAAACTTCATTTTCTGTGTTGATATACACACTGTTGGAAATAATTCTCTTCACTATTATTCTACAAACATATTTTCAGAATTTTTCATATCAATCGAGGCAAGAATACTTTGTGCAAGTGGTAAATTCTTATTTTCTTGATATTTTTATAGATTTTGACATGAAATACTCTAAGGCCTCAGATCGATTTTTATATTGAATTCTTCTGAATGGACCGTTAAGTCCAATATATTAATTCCTACAGGGATGGATCATTTGGGCTAATATGTAAATCTTACGAGATATAGGAATTCTTATGAAATTCCTCAAACTATTGGATGTCGCGACCAGTTTGCTTTAAATCTAAAAATGTTGTAGGCCATGTCATTTTAGTTATATCATGTTAATAAGGATATGTATATATGTCTTATTGAGTTCTTTTTTTTTTTTTTTTTTTTTTTAATGCTCACCCTTATAATAACATTTCAGATTAGAACGGGTTGTCTGGACGCTTGGCAGATTAACCGAGTGATACTCATGAAGTCGTCAAGTAAAATTTCTACAAATGATAATTCACTAAATGTTTCATTTGAAGAACATATTTATGTTAACATTTATGCACGTTATTTAATATATTTTTTCTTGTGCCCGAACATTTGACATTTTATGTTAAATTTGAATTGATTGTATGAAATCATAGTACTTTAATATTTTATTTGATGCGTAAACTTTTCAATTAAAATGTTGGTTTGTAATTATCGACTTATCGAACAAATTTCAAATTTTGAGTAAAAGTAGATTTTTGCTTAAATTAGGAAAAGAGGATTTTCGGTAACACTTCAAGTCTTTTTTTTTTTTTTTAAATGAAATAGATTTTGAGGCATTATAGTTTGATATCAAAGTTCAGATCTTCGTTTCTGGAGACTGAAATTTTTTTTTATTATATTTTCATTTTTACCATCAAGTATAATATGATTTTTTTTTTTTTTGTTAGGTGAATTACGTGCATTAGTGATTTTTCTTTGAATAATAATTTAAATGGGAGACGTAGTGGTCTAAATGGAAAATAATAATAATAATACAAATAGTATTTTCTAGTTTGTTAAATATTTTACGATTATGACATTATGAGAATTAGTTGAATTTACTTTGAGTAAATCGTTGAAATATTTAAGTTCTCAGTAATATTTTTAAAAGAGACTTAATTGCATGCTTAATCAACATAAGTGTATTTTCAATCCAATTGTAAATTTTAGTTGTTGCTTGTTTACTGCATCATAAAATTTACTATGAAGTGATCAGAATATTTGCCAACAGAAAATAATGCAACCTCATTATAATTTAATCACAGTACAAGGAAAAAAAAACTTTTAAACTAGGAACTTGAAGAAAACTTTTTGTTTTTTTTTTTTTTTTTTTAAATACCTATATTGTCTGACCACCAAATCCGTAACAAAGAAAATGGCTAATGTGTTCTTAAATGTGAATTAAAGAAATGTCTAGTCATCGTTATGTAGTGTGCGATTTTTCAGATGACAGTATTAAAAAAAATTAAAATTTGATTGGTAAGTTATCGTAATCTCTATTTAAAATATAAAGATAATAATAAAAATAATATTTTTTTAATATGCCAATAGGTGTCTATTTAATTTTTATTTATTTATTTCTACACATTATGAGAATTTTATTAAACAAGTATTAAAATAAGATATATGGTATTTAACACTCGTCAATCTACTATCCATCCGATGAACTCAAGGTATGGAGGAATTGTTTTGTTTCATTTTATTTTTAAGCATGATTTATGTATTAATTACGCTTGAATTCGTGAAATGATTATAATTGAATGTTTAGAATGAAATATGTTATGTATGTTTTTATTTTATTATACATAAAGGTATACTGATTAGTAATTTTATCAAGATCACAAGAGCATAACGTATACTGTGTATCGCTACAAAAATAAATATAATTGAACACTTACGTGACAGACATGATTATAACTTATTAGACTGTTAGAAACACCATAACTTGTAGAGCAATGTTGAACTGTAGCTCCATCATTCAATATTATGAGAATTATGTGATTGACTTGACTCATTCGCTTGTCGAACACGTGCAAAACATTCATGAAAGATCTATGGTAGCTGTGGATACAGGATTGGAGATCATGCATATCGAGTTGTGAATAACCTTATACACTCACTTCCACTTGAATGGGGGAGACATGGGAGTTATGGTTAGGGATGAGATATTAGAAGGTAACCCTCCAGAACACCTAAACACAATTGAGTTTGGTATATATTGTCAGACCCTTCTAGATAGGTGGTGTGAGGGCTTAGAATCCCAACCGGATATAATGAACGATCTCGATGATGACGTTGATCCTGAGCTCGAGCCAAAACCTCAATTTGAATCGGACCCAGAAGAAGATTTCGAATGGGAGCATGGGGATGACTTTGGGTTGTCGTTAGAGAATGATCACAAGCATGAACTTGAGCTACTGTTTCAAATGGACATAGAATCCAGGCCTAAGACAGAAGACTCTTCCAAGGATGAAGCTCCATTAAAGAAGATTCGCATGATTCATAAAGATTAGAGACTTAGGTTTCATTTCCTTATTACTATGATATCTTTCCTTTATGTTATTAAACATTAAAATTTGTCAAACTATTGTATATCCTGATTTCAAGGAGTACTATTAATAAAAAAATTTAATTTTTTTTTAACATATTGAACTACTATGTTGTTCAACATTTCTAATTTAAAGAAAATAGCGGGACAACAAAACCAAGCATTTATGTTTAAGGATCAGGTGAGAGTGATGTATGACCTTGGTAGGAATCAAGCACCCGTAAGAGCACCTCATCAAAAAAGACTGGCAAATGCCAATAACACAAGTTCAATTATAGAGCAATTTTTATTGTTTCAGATCTCATTCTTTTGACGGCAAAGCAAATCGCAGCCGATGAGTAGGTAAGAGAGCTAGAACGAATCTACAAATACATGACATGCACTGATGCACATAAGGTATCATGTGCTGAATTTATGCTGGTTGGAGCAACAGGCCACCGGTGGGAGTCTGCTTCGCACTCCAGAACAAAAGCACAACAACGCATTATGATTTGGGCACAGTTCAAAGGTGTAATGAAAAACTACTTTCCCCAATCACTGAGGGATTGGAAAGAGGCAGAGTTCCTACTGTTGAAACAAGAAAATATGTCACTTGATGAATATGAAAGAAAGCTCGAACAACTTTCTAGGTATGCTACACACATTGTGGAAATCGCACAAAAGAAGGCTAGGAGGTTCAAACTTGTTTTGCGTGCAGAGATTGGAGGAATCATGGCATCTCATACGACTACCTATAGTGAAGTGCTTTAGCGAGCTCAATCAATTTCTAATTGTCTAGAAATGGATCGGATGACTGAGTAAAATAATGAATCTTATGGGAAATGAAAGTGGAATGGATCGAATAAAGAGAGGATTTGAACAATTTAAGAAAGCCAATACATGATTGGGATTAGGATCAAGCAAACAAAATAAAGTTACTTCACGATGTCCTAAGTGCAACAAGGCACATCAAGGAAAGTGCTTGTTTGAGAAAAATGTGTGCTATCGATGTGACCAAGAAGGTCATTTTACCCCGGACTACAAGACATGTTCACCTAAGAAAGACAATGTACAGGGCAAGAAAGTGAAAGCCAAAGTCTTTGCTTTAATCCAGAAAGAGGCAACAGAGGATCCGAATGTAATGGCAGGTATTCTATCAATATCTGAACTACCTGCATATGTTCTTATAGGTTCAGGAGCTACTCATTCATTTATTTCTACCGCATTTATTTCTAAATCATGTACTGCATGTTAAAAATCCAATAGTGTTTTAGAAATTTTCATCCCATCAGGTAAAACTATAAATGCCAATCAGATTGCTAGGGCAATAAAATTAGAAATGGAAGGAAAAGAATTTGTAGCTAATCTAAACCTCCTACATATGAAAAGACTTTGTTATTCTAGGAATGGACTGGTTGGGGCAATCACGTAACCATTCGATGTTTCGAAAAAATAAGTAATTTTTCAGAAGCTTGGGAAAGTAGAGTTTTGATTTTTTGCTATACGAGTTAAGTATTTACCCCGACTCGTGTCGATCATAAAGGCAGAAAAAATGTTAAAGAAAAGATCTTACCGAGGATTTCTAGTAAGTATACATGAACTCAGCAATCGAAGCTTACTATTGATAATGTGCCAATTGTACGAGATTTCATTGATGTATTCCCTGATGACTTACCTGGCGCACCACTTGATAGGCAGTTAGAGTTTACAATTAACCTCGTACGCGGAGCAACTCCAGTATCTAAAGCTCTATATAGGATGGGGCCAAAAGAACTACGATAATTAAAGATACAGTTGCAAGAATATTGGATAAAGGTTACATTCGATCAAGTACATCTCCTTGGGGTGCACCGAATTTGTATTTGAAGAAGAAGGACGGATCAATGATATTGTGCATTGATTATAGGGAACTGAACTAACTGACTGTAAAAAAATCCCCTTTCTTGGATTGAAGACCTCTTCAATCAGTTAAAAGGTACAATGGTATTTTTTAAGATTGATTTGAGGTCTGGCTATCATCAGTTGAGAGTGAAAGCAAATGACATTTCAAAGATGACATTTAGAACTCGCTATGGTCATTAGGAGTTCACAATAATGCCCTTTCGGTTAACAGATGCTCCTGCAGTATTTTATGGATTTGATGAATAGAGTATTCCATCAGTATTTAGATCAATTTGTCATTGTCTTCATTAATGACATTTTGGTATGAAAAATAACTCAAGATAATGTTAGAAACACTATGAATGGAGAAATCATATGCCAAATTCAAAAAATGTGAATTTTGGCTTGATCGTATAATTTTCATTGGTCATGTGGTTATTGCATAAGTGATTGAAGTAGACCCTAGTAGAGTTGAAACGATAACCAACTGGTCCAAATAGACGAAAGTAGGCGAAGTTCGTAGTTTCTTAGGACTAGCAGATTATTATAAAAAATTCATTAAGGGATTCTCCAAAATAGCTGGGCCGATGACCTAACTGACTAGGAAGGACTTAAAATTTCAATGGATTGAGGACTGTGAGGAGCTTTCAAGAACTGAAACATAAATTGGTTATTGCTCCAGTTTTAGCTATACCAGAGGGTTCAAATGGCTTCATTATATATAGCGATGCATCCAAACAAGGTTTGTAATGTGTACTAATGCAGTTTGGAATGGTGATCGTATATGCCTCAAGATAGTTAAAACAACATGAGCAAAACTACCCTAGGCATGAACTAGAGCTTGCAGCCGTAATATACGTTCTAAAGATATGGCATCGCTACCTTTACGGTGTGAAGTGTGATATTTATACGGATTATAAGAATTTGAAATACTTCTTCACTCAAAATGATTTGAATATGAGGCAAAGAAGGTGGTTGGAGTTAGTTAAAGATTATGATTGCACTATCTATTATTATCCGGGTAAAACTAATGTAGTTGCGGATGCTCTTAGTAGGAATATAGTGGGACAACTAGCAATCTTACCCAGTGCAGTTAATAAAGGAGTTTGATAAATTGAAATTGGAACTTGTCATTCCACCAACTCAAGTTACTATAAAGATTGCAGCATTAAAAATTTAACCTATTCTTAGGGATAGAATCAAGGATGCTCAAGATAACTATCCATTTTTTAGGAAAATCAAGGTGGAAGTTGATACAAGTAAAAGAAAAGGTTTTGCAATAGCAAATAACAATGTTTTGATGTTCGAGGGAAGATTACGTGTACTAAAGGATGAAGGAATTAGAAGAGAAATATTAGAAAAAGTTTATTATGCCCCGTATGATGCACATCTTAGTAGTACTGAAATGTATCAAAACCTGTGCGATATATTTTGGTAAAGGAATATGAAAAGAGGGTTTGGTTTTTTTGTTGAGAAGTGTATTGTATGTCAGTAAGTTAAAGCAGAATATCAAAGACCATCAGGACCATTAAATCCATTGAAAATTTCAAAGTGGAAATGGGAGCAAATAACCATTGATTTTGTCGTTGGTTTTCTGAAATCAACCAAAGGACACGATATCATTTGGGTAATTATGGACAGGTTGACAAAGTTAGCTCATTTTCTTCCAATAAGAATGAACTATAGTATGCATCAATTTGCTCAATTATATGCTAAGGAAATTGTAAGGATACATGGAGTTGCAGCATCCATTGTCTCAGATCAAGACTCAATGTTTACTTAACATGCAAGGAGGTATGTGGACAAGGTTAATTTTAGCACTGCCTATCATCCTCAATCTAATGGACAGTCTCAAAGGACTATTCGGATCTTGGAAGACATGCTCCGAGCATGTGTTTTGAATTTGGGAGGTAGTTGGGAATCACACATATCATTAGTGGAGTTTGCATAAAATAATAGCTTTTGGGCTACTGTTGGCATGATTCCTTATGAAGCTCTCTATGGTAGAAGATGTAGATCCCATTTTCATTGGGATGAAGTTAGAGAAAAATGAATTTTAGGTCTAAAGATTAATACAAGGATAGTGCAAACAATTGATAAAATCAGAGATAGGATAAAATCTACTCAAGATAGATAGAAAAGCTATGCAAATCAATGAAAAAATTGATAAATTTTGAAGTCGGTGAGAAAGTGTTTCTAAAGGTGGGGTTCTTAAATTTGGTAAAAAGGAAATTTTGAGACCTTGATTTATAGGTCCTTTCGAAATTTTAGACAAAATTGAAAATGTAGCATACTATGTAGCATTGCCACCTAGACTATCAGTAGCACATAATGTATTCTACGTATCAATGCTTAGAAAGTACGTGCATGATCCCGAACATGTGATAAGCTATGAATCATTGAAAGTACAGAAGGATCTAATGTATTATGAAACTCCTTTTGAGATTATCGAAAGGAAAATACATGCATTAAGAAATAAAGAAATTGCCTTAATTAAAGTTTGATGAAAAAATCATGTTGTAGACGAGGTTCCTTGGGAGAAAGAAGAAGAAATAAAAGCCAAGTATCTTGATCTTTTCGGTTAAATAGGGTAATTTCAGGGACGAAATTATTTTAAGGGGGAAGGGATGTAACACCCTGAATTTTAATTATATTTTCATATGAAACTAAATTTAATAATGGTCTTCTAGCAAATGAAATAGTCCATGTCTAGCCTTTGTCGTCACATTAAAGTTCAATAGTTGAATGGATAAACTCGATCCACTGATTTGTAATTATACTTTATTTGCTTACGTATAAAAATTTATCGTAAGTTATTTGGACCGAATATTTAAGCATTTTAGAAATTGATAAAAGATATTATACTCATTTTATAGCTTGCATTAAATAGAACATATTTAGCTCAAGAATAAATATTTTTAGACTAGTTATTACCCTTGTTATTTTGATAAAAAGAAAATATTCTAGATTTCATATTTTATTAATAAACAAAATGTAAATAATAAAAAAATTGAGGAAATTGTAGTGCGGTTACTTGGAAGTTGAAAAGAATATTATAACTTAAAAATAATTAAATCCCTGATAATAATTGATATAATTAACCGATAAACTCTTAAATAATATGTTTAGAATTAAATTTGAAACTTAAAAGTATTCGATTGAAATTCAAAAAAATGAAACTGACAGTGGTCATTGGAATCACAGTGTTTTTTCTTCTTCTTCTTCCTTTTTTTTTTTTTTTTTTTTTTTTTTAAATTTTTATTTTCTTGATATTTTTATAGATTTTGACATGAAATATTCTAAGGCCTTTGAATCGATTTTTATGTTAAATTCTTCGAAGTGGATCGTTAGACTGAATATGTTAAATCTTATGGGATTGACGGTTTGATCAAATATGTAAATCTTACGGGATATAAGAATTCTTATGAAATTTATTGACCTGTTGGATGTCGTGATCAGTTTGCTCTAAATCTAAAAATATCGATATGCCATGTCATTTTATATTTATATCATATTAATAAGGATATGCACGTATTTCTTATTGAGTATTTTTTTTTTAATACTCACTTTTATAATAACATTTCAGATTAGAACGCGTCGTGCGGACGCGTGATAGATTGATAATTTCGAGAAATGATAATTTCGGATTAGAACATGTCATGTGATACTCATGCGGTCGCCAATTAAAATTTCTAGAAATAATAATTTACAAAAAGTTTCATTTCAAAAACCTATTTATATTAACTTTTATGCACATTATTTAATATATTTTTCTTGTGCTCGAGCATTTGACATTTTATGTTAAATTCGAATTGATGGTTTGAAATTGTAGCACTTTAAGACTTTATTTGATGTGTAAACTTTTCACTTAAAATGTTTATAATAAATTTATCGACTTATCGAACAAATTTCAAATTTTAAATAAAAGTAGATTTTTGCTTAAATTAGGAAAAGAGGATTCTCGATAACACTTTAAGTCTATTTTATAAAATAAAATAAAAAATGAAATAGATTTTGGAACGTTACAGCCTGTAGTTTGACATAGCTACTGATTCCTTCGTGTACATAAAGCCCGAGCAGAAAGGGGACTCATCGTTTTTGTTGCAGCACATGTAGTAACAAGCCTTGGGCTCCTCGACTAGTAGATCTACCAAGTTATGAAAGAATCCTTTAAAGGTACTCTGCTGAGATGATAAATAGTAGATTTCTGAAAACAACTTCTATCCAGATATGACTTTCACGCCCATATTGTAATATCTGTATAAAACTCTTGTTTACGAAGGTTCATGGCTAGAGATCCAAATACGGAAACAGCATCTACATACGGTAAAGATCGACTATAATATGTCTTAAAATTATTCATAGCGAGCAACAACTAATGGGGAACATCAACCTGAAATTACTTATGCTCTGAAACATCAGAACCATGGGAAAGATAATTAATGCTGTACCGAATAATGGCTATAGATCATTTTCAAACATATAAGTGCAGAACACAAAGAAAGTGGAGCAAACAATATTTTTATTTTATCTTTTATTAACAGGCAACTCTTAGCATAAAACAAATAATTGCCCATGGAACTCGGGCCAAATGTTCAGTGACAATTTATTGTTCCTTGTTTCACAAAAAGTCAAACTCACCATGGATGAAAATTAAGTATGATGGGGGCGATTGTATCAACCACGAAATGAGAAAAGTTAGTTCAACTTAGAAATATGAGTGCCCTGTAGTACTGCAGATTGAATCCCAATCACAATTTATAAGAGGACGAGCCCGAGTTCTGATGGTCTCAAAGCTTGCTTGAGGTGATAGTTGTCGAGATAGTAGTGGAGTTTTCCGTCTCCTGGAACAAACTTAAGCTCCTTCAAGAAAGTCTCATTATTCATGACATCCAAAGCATTGAAAACATCAAAATCATTCTTCTTTGCCACAATGAGAGCATCATTCATCAACTGAATCAATGGAGTCTTTGTCGACACGTTATAAAAAGAATAAGCAGCCTTTAAAGTAGAATGGTTTTGATTACCGAGTATAGAA